GTAATGACCCCTACGCTGTAGCCTAACACTTTGGCTCATATTGGCCGTGCTTTGATCCTTTTCAGCATGCAGGAAAAAGGGCGCCAGTTGGATGAAGGCGGTGCATTATAGAGCCGCACGGACATTCAGGTGCATGATTATCGGTTTTTTGCATGAAGTCCGGTCTTTTTTCGGTAAATGCTCGCTTTATGGAAAAATGACAAATGCAAATTTTTTGAAAAAATGCAAGTTTCCAGTTCACTAAAAAGTGGAAGTATTGCTCGAGTGGTCGTTTGTCAAAAAATCCATGTATGCAGATTAACTAATGTTCATTTACATATACGATTGGGATTCGGGTCCGGGTTGCAGTGGATTTCTTAAGGATTTGTAGGTTGAAGAGCTGCTTGAAGCTGTGGTTGGGGTGCTCGACAGCTGAGTTTAAAATCCGTAGCTCGCACGTGCATAAGATAATATCCTTGCAAGTTTCAGCTTTCTACCTTGCCTGCTTTGCGAAATCGTTTCCCGCCAACATATTTTTTGGGGAGCTCATAGGCGGGGTCTAGGCGCGTGTAGGAGAACATCTTGAAACGGGAGGATGGCACACGGGGTAGGAACATATACCCAAAATTTCAGCCTCCCAGCTTTCCTTGGTTGCTGAGATGAGAGTAGATGACAAAATGCACTCGCTTTCCGAACACACACCCACAGACAGCCTCTCGACAATATACGTTTTTGCTGGCTGTAGCAATAGCGCTGCACAGCAAAAACCCATAAAAACAAAAACAACGTAGAGACTGGATTATGCATTTCCTCACCAGTTTTCGAGCTCTGGTTCACCATGAGAGACTAGTTTTTTGGAAGCCAATAAGTCCCGCAAAAGTCACGGAGTCGCTAACGCGCAGCTTCGACAAGCAGTACGATGTAAGAACTACGACACGAGTCTTTAGCCTCGTGGACAGTGTGGCCCTCATCTGAGTTCAGAAAGCTAAAATTTCGAAGGAGATTCCCCTTAACCGGCATGCTGTTTTTGCTGTAGCAACACTGAAGCTGTGATACAGCTTCTTCATTTCAAAATGGCATTTTATTTAACTGTAGCTTTGTCGAACAGAAGAAAAGATTTGGATTTACACACTTGCGACTGGTCTCAACAGAAAATCTTTCGCGAAAATGCTAATTTCTTGAAAAGGCAGAGAATGTGAATTGTATAATGTAAAAGTTTCGGCCATGAAACAATCCGAATTGTGTTGATAAGCTCCAGCCAAATATAAAAGACTCTTAGCATCCCCAACGGGAGAAATCGTCTAGAGCCTGCTACTTCGTTTACCTGTTTGAAAAGCTAACCCAGGCTGGAACGCACCAGGCGAGCCGGTGCGATTATGCGTTTTTGCACTTTTCGTACCGTAG